AAGAAAGAAAGAAAGTAAGAAGGAGCCGGAGAGAGAGGGGAAAACAAAGTGTGAGTATGTGTTTGTGTATGTCTGTGTGTGTTAGAGAGAGAGAGAGAGATTGGGGGGGGTCGTGAGAGAAAGAGAGAGATACAAATTTACACAAAGGGAATGTTTTGGACAAAAATGAGAAGGATAATAGTGTGCGTGCTCAGGCGCATTCCGCGCGCAGACGTGAGTACATTTTTAAGCTTTGCGACCTAAAATAAATAGGCCCCTTAGCCCCATTTAATGACGCTCGTAAACGCCGGAAATGTACTCACTTTTGCATGCATAAAAAAGAACACGCCTGAGCACGCATTCAGTCCTGATAGCGCGCAAGACGCAAGATCAACTCACATTCAGTGACAATAACAATAACATGAAAAGAAAGGAAAAAGAAGACAGCTTGGAAAAGGTAGATGGAAAGCAAAACAAACTATTGTAGTTTATTTGCAAGCGCATTACATATTATACATACGCCTGTCCACATTAATAATAAAACAACAGTAGCTAGTATAACTGGACTACTTTTGCGCACAGGTGTCGTGTAACAATAGTGCGATCAAAAATTCGTGGCGCAACTTTTCCTTAAAAAAATACTGTATCTTCTTTAACGGGAGAATCAATGTCACCCATACTTTGCACAGCAGTTTGTATAAAATGTCTTAACTGAATCATATTTTTCAACAACAATTGAAGTTCGATCAAATTTTTTTTCTAGAATACAGTGTGCAAGAGTTTGAAAAAATATTTACCTGTTAAGACAAATTGATTATAAGTCACTGTGCAAAAGTTGGAGAATCTATGTTCGATAAGGAGATATTTCACAATAAAAGTTGCGCCGTGCATTTTTGACCGCACTATAGTCACTATAGGCGTAAGTTGGAATAGTATGAATTTAATTTGTACTCTTTTAAAACTCATATTCCACGCAAGGCGTTACATGATTAACAATCTCTTTTCAATCTAATAGCATATAATTATACCCTGCCGACCCCATCGTTCGCCCCCACGTTCCCTTCGCCAACTCTTTCCACCTCTCTCTCTCTTTCCCTCCCCCCCTCTCTCTCTCTCTCCCCCCTCGCTCTCTTTGATTTCTTTTATTGACATAATTAACAACGTGGGTGCAGACGTGAGCAAATTTCAAATTCTGGTTCACCCACGGCCACTGGATACCTCACAATCGTATTCAGATATTTTAAACATTCTCCTAGTCCTAGTAATAACTCCTTACGTAAACTGGCCGTTTTCCTCCAGTATTTTTGCAAAGTCCAGATGCATGCATCTGTGTACGGTCCCGTAACACCACGCCTTGCGCAGGTAGGACGTACGTATGGTCCCCTAGCGCCAAACACTATCGGGGTTGGTGATTTTTTTGATTTTTTAAATAAAAATTTAAAAAATCGATTTTTTTTATTTAAATCAGATTTTTTAAATTTACATCGGATTTTTTAAAATTTTTTTTAAATGCCGACTCAGTTTGGGATTTTTGGTGGCTAAAAGTAAGTTCTTTTAGTGCAAAATGCATTGTCTTTATTTTAACTAATGATTAATTTAAGCAACTGCAATTTTAGAAAGCCTTAATCTGCTATATCAGTGAATTATGGCTACAGACAAAAAATGAAGAAAATGTCAGTCTACAAGGAAGGGGGGGGGGGGGGTAATTATGCATAGATAAACTTGCATTTTATTACAGTGTGTGTGTTTGTGCACGCACTTGTGTTTGTATAAAAAGAAAAAGAAAAAGCTAATTTCAGTTATTATGAAAAAAAAGTAAATTGAATACAGTAATTATTTTACTACTTACAGTGACAGGGGTGAAAGCAGACTTTTAAGCATGATCATTTTAGTCTACTAAACCTTATATCTGTTTTATAAAACCAAGGAAAGGAATTCTGAACGTTTAAAGATATGTAAAAACAGAATACATTTTTTTAAAGTGATTTAAATCACTGAGTTTTATTTTTTAAATCAAGTTGATTTAAATTCTAAAAAATCAACTGATTTAAATCGACCTGATTTAAATCAACCCAACCCTGGTTTTCAATTATGAAAAAAAAGTAAATTGAGAACTGTATTATTTTACAGCAGACTTTAAAGCATGATTATATTAGTATTAGTCTACTAAACCTTATATATCTGTTTAATAAAACCAAAGAAAGGAATTCTGAAAGTTAAAATATATGTAAAAGCTGAATACATTTTTTGAAAAGTGATTTAAATCACTGATTTTTATTTTAAAAATCAAGTTGATTTAAATTTTAAAAATCAACTGATTTAAATCAACCTGATTTAAATCAACCCAACCCTGAACACTATGGGGGCGTACGGTCCCCTAGCGCCACGCGCTTTTGGGGCGTATGGTCCCCTAACAATAGCCTGTTATAAATTAGGCCACCTCTATTCTCACCCGCGGTGAGAATAGTGCAGGCGAGTCTTTTGGCTATTCTCACCCGGTGCGCGTTCACCGTTATAGCCTAGATCTAGGCCAACAAATTTTGCGTTCACCCTAAACCACAGAATTCTACACTGTGATAACAGAAAAATTGTAGAATTCTGTGCCGTGAACAAACGTTCCATTACAACTGTAGCCTACTAAAAAAAGCGTACAATTTTGTCTGTGGGCAGTGGAGAGAGAGAAATAGAAAGAGAGAGAGAGGAGTTGCGCGAGAACTTCCGGTCAAAACAAAATGGCGACCCGCGTAGTTCGGCTCGATTCGAAAAGTTAAATAGCCGTAGCATCTTTATAGAAAACCAAATTAATTTACTTTTGTGTTTTAACTTTTTTATCTTTGTTTTGGTCAATTTGATCGTCCACACCGATCGATAGACAGTATTCAGAAAGAGACAGAGAGAGAGAGGGGAGAAGTAGATCTTGCGAGAACTTCCGGGCAAAACAAAATGGCGACCCGCGTAGTTCGGCTCGATTCGAACAGTGAAATAGCCATATATAGCATCTTTGAAGACGATCAAATTAGCTTACTTTTGTGCTATAGATACACGTAATTTTTTCTTGGCTTTTATCAATTTGATCATCCACGGTCCACACCGATAGACAGTATTCCAAAATGAGGAAAAGCAGGTCTTGTTTTGCACCGGGTGAGAATAGCCTATGCTGGCAAGTCTCACCCAGGTTGAGAAGTAGATCGTTTTTCTATTCTCACCCCGGATGAGAATAGCCACTTCCTATAAATTATTTATTAGTGATGAAGAATGCAGGAGGGGGTAGATCTAGATTTCTTTCTAGATCTAGGAAATCCGAAATGTTACCTAAAACACGTCGTTCCATGTGGGTGTCCCAGGAAGTGATGACATCACAGTATCAGTACTAAAATTAGCAGCCAATCAGAAAGAGATGCGTCTTCTACGTTTTACGGCATGTATGTGTGTCAATATCTAGATTCTAGATCTCTAGATCTAGAACTCGATCTAGAATCTAGATATCTAGGCCTCCCTAGATATCTAGATCTACATAAAAAGAAAAAATAAAGTAAAAAACCAATGTAAAGACTGACCAACCTGAGATTAGTGTCATAAGTGTCCACTGCCACTGTTAGTTGAATGTTAGCCTAGAGATTCTAGATTAGAAATCTAGATCTATATCTAGATTCTAGTCTAGATTAGTAGAAGATCTATAACCTCAAGAAGACAGGAGTTACCATGTGAGCAGGAAAAGCTAATGAACTACATCGAGATCCAAAGGTCCACACACACAAAATAAAGTCCAAATGAAAACAGGAACATGCAATTTTTTCGTCCAGGTCCGTGTCTACTAAACACATTTAAAGACACACAAACACAAACTGAATGAATGGCTGTGCTGAGGAATATCAAATGAAATTCAGCTCTTCGAAATCAGTGTTTCACATCTCTACATGACAAATAATGGGATCGATTTTGTAAGCACACGAAATTACTCTACAGCGAGGGTATGCAGACAAAAACTCTCATTAAAAAAGAAATGTCGTATCAAGTTTAGAACTTGCAATGAAAAATACGCTCGCAGTCACCATCTTGTTTATTATCAAAGTGAGGCTCTCTTCCGGTAGCTTCCATTGGTCGCTGGTGTCAAAGCCAAAGCAGGCGTCATGTTATTGGACCATAATTAAGAGGGTAAATTTTTGGCATAAAACGGTTACAAAACTATACCCAAACATATCGCATATCCGTTTTCTAAAAAGATTACTCCACTCGATCCGAAGGAAGACCATTGTTTGTGGTAGGTGTAAACAAGCCGTCCAAGCAAACGAACTAGATTCTAGAATTTACGAGGAACAGAGACCTTACAGCATTGTTTGTGATTTATAAAGCATATTTTCCTTGACAGGTACTGGGGTAGGCTTTAGATTCTCTAGATATCTAGATCTAGATCTAGATCTCAATCTCTTGACTCTTACTCTTGTCCAATTCTGACTCTTTTTGACTTTTCCGAACTGTGTGTCTCTTTTTTGCCTCTTTAGTCTTTGTCCATGCTGGCACGGGTCAGTCCACCAATATCAATAAGGGCCACTTTTTGTGAGATCTAGAATCTAAATCTAGATCTAGATCTAGAGTAATATTACCGTTCGGTCAAAATTTGGACGGAAATAGGTGTAGAATCAATGGGTAAATTTATAGAACGGAGTGCTTATTGGCCCACAGGCCACAGGGGCATATAAAATGGAAGTGGCTATTCTCACGCTATTTTCACCCGGGGTGAGAATAGAAATACGATCGACCTCTTACCCCGGGTGAGACTTGCCACCGTAGGCTATTCTCACCCGGTGTGAAACAAGACCTGTTTTTGTCAATTGCCACCGAGTAAATTGGAGCTCTTTTGCGTTGGTGGGTAGATCTAGCTAAATGACTCTAATGTGCTCGAGTGCTCGGTGTTGTGCGTTCGCCTCTCTGTCCCTCTGTGTGTGTGTGTGTCTTTTCCTGACGGCCACCTCTATTCTCACCCGGAGTGAGAATAGTGCAGGCGAGTCTTGTGGCTATTCTCACCCGGTGCGCGTTCACCAAATTTTGCGTTCACCCTAAACCACAGAATTCTACACTGTGATAACAGAAAAATTGTAGAATTCTGTGCCGTGAACAAACGTTCCATTACAACTGTAGATTACTAAAAGCGTACAATTTTGTCTGTGGGCAGTGGAGAGAGAGAGAGAAAGAGAGAGAGGAGTAGCGCGAGAATTTCCGGGCAAAAAAAAATGGCGACCCGCGTAGTTCGGCTCGATTCGAAAAGTTAAATAGCCGTAGCATCTTTGTAGACAACCAAATTAATTTACTTTTGTGTTTTAACATCATTTTTAAACTTTGTTTTGGTCAATTTGATCGTCCACACCGATAGACAGTATTCAGAAAGAGACAGAGAGAGAGAAGAGGGGAGGAGTTGATCTTGCGAGAACTTCCGGGCGGGTGAGAATAGCCACTTTCTTTCCTGACCCCCGTCCCCCGATTTATGTTCTCCGATATAACGTGAATTTCTGCTTGAGTTTGTGACCTTCTACTTCTAGAATTGCCTGTGTTGGTTCTCCACCAAAGTGTAGGCTAAAGCTAGCCTAGATCTAGGCCTACGTCTCATTGAAAATACGTCAAGTTGGTACCGTAGCTCTAGACTAGATGCTCGTCCAAGAATAAGTTGAGAACAAATTGACCCATTAGACACACATTATCACATTAAGTATAATGCTAAAAAGATAGTGTTGTTTTCAGACTTGACACCGCTTCACTCGGTGGCAATTGACAAAAAGTCAATTTTTGTCAATTGCCACCGTGTCACTCAGTGGCAATTGACGCTACCTTTCGGAATACTTTCTATCGATTTGGATGATCGAATGGATAAAGGCAAAGAAAAGATTACGTTATAGCACAAAAGTAAGCTAATTTTATCGACTACAAAGATGCTATGGCTATTTCACTTTTCGAATCGAGCCGAACTACAGGGGTCGCCATTTTGTTTTGCCTGGAAGTTCTAGCAAGATCTACTCCTCCCCTCTTCTCTCTCTCTATCTCTTTCTGAATACTGTCTATCGGTGTGGACGATCAAATTGACCAAAACAAAGTTAAAAAGTGATGTTAAAACACAAAAGTAAATTAATTTGGTCGTCTACAAAGATGCTACGGCTATTTAACTTTTCGAATCGAGCCGAACTACGCTGGTCGCCATTTTGTTTTGCCCGGAAGTTCTCACGCTACTCCTCTTTCTCTCTCTTTCTCTCTCTCTCTCTCTCTCTCTCTCCACTGCCCACAGACAAAATTGTACGCTTTTAGTAGGCTAACAGTAGTAATGGAATGTTTGTTCACGGCACAGAATTCTGCAATTTTTCTGTTATCACAGTGTAGAATTCTGTGGTTTAGGATGAAAACAAAATTGGTTGGCCTAGATCTAGGCTATAACGGTGAACGCGCACCGGGTGAGAATAGCCAAAAGTCTCGCCTGCACTATTCTCACCCGGGGTGAGAATAGAGGTGGCCTATAAAATTGGTAGCGTCAATTGCCACCGAGTGACGCGGTGACAATTGATAAAAATTGACTTTTTGTCAATTGCTACCGAGTGAAGCAGTGTCAAGTCTGAAAACAACACTACTATCTTTAGCATATAATACATAATGTGTATCTAATTGGTCAATTTGTTCTCAACTAATTTCATTGGATGAGCATTTAGTCTAGAGCTACGCCATGTTATCAACTTGGCGTGTTTTCAATGAGACGTAGGCCTAGATCTAGGCTAGCCTTAGCCTACAGTTTGGTGTAGAACCAACACAGGCAATTCTAGAAGTAGAAGGTCACAAACGCACACAAACTCAAGCAGACATTCATGTTATATATCAGTGAACATAAATCGGGGGACGGGGGTCAGGAAAAGAGACACACACTCACACACACACACAGAGGGACAGAGAGGCGAACGCACAACACCTAGCACTCGAACACAATAAGCTAGATCTACCCGCCAACGCAAAAGAGCTCCAATTTACTCGGTGGCAATTGACAAAAAGTCAATTTTTGTCAATTGCCACCGCGTAACTCGGTGGCAATTGACACTACATTTTGTCAATTGCCACCGCGTCACTCAGTGGCAATTGACACTGTAGACCTTAATCTTAATAATAAAAACGAAGTGTATACAGACCCGGTAACCGGGAACAAAGTCACAAAGTATACAGACTCGGTAGGGGAACTCTTTTGTGATTTCGAAGGGTTTCAGCGCCCAGACCCGGTAGTGTGTGTCTGTGTGTGTGTGTGTGAGTTAAAGAGGGAGAGAGAGAGAGAGAGAGAGCGCAGGGGGAAGTTCTAGCAAAATGTATATAATATGACATGTCTGTCAGTTGGCAGGAAGGAACGAAAGACAGAGACAAACAAAGAAAAAAAGAATGCGAGCGATACAGAGAGAGAGAGAGAGAGACTGCTCGATTGAAATTATGACATTGTTCTTTTCTTCAAATTGTGATTCCTCTAACTCCAAAACAGGGGAAAAACGATCGTTCATCGAAAAGACATCGGCAATCTTCATTTAGTTTTAGATCTAGAATCTAGATCTAGATCTACAGTCTAGATCTAGGCTAGCCTCGAAACTAGATCAATGATTTATATCTGTCTGTCTAGATCTAGACCTAGGCCATAGATCTAGAAGAACCTAGTACTACCCTGAGCCAAGAGGGTGCTGAAAGTTTCCGAAATCACAAAAGAGTTCCCCTACCGGGTCTGTATACTTTGTGACTTTATTCCCGGTTACCTGGTCTGTATACACTCCCTAATAAAAAACTAGATCTATTAAAGCTAGAGAAAGAACGAAAAGTCCTCTCATCTTCAAAAATAGCTCAACAAATTAGTCCATCAATCACATACAGTCAAACCTGTGTAAGACGGCCACCCATTGTCAAGGAGATAAGTGGCCGTATAAGACAGGTGGCCGTCTTAGGCAGGACTGATCAAGATGAAGAAAACAAACCCCATTCCCAATCGAAAGTAGCCGCATTATTGTTTTTGTTGTTGGTTTGTATTTTGTTTGTTATTTTTATTTTGTTGCTGACTTTTCGATCTTTCTCTAGCTTTTATAGTTTTTGAATTAAGATTACGAAGTGACTATTTCTCAGAACGTTCGGAGAAATAGTGCCAATCTTTATGTCTCCGAAGGGTTTCCGGCTTCCTGTCTCGTGATTTTTTGCCTATTTGCGAGAGTTCAGCGCCAGCTTTCATTCTGCCATTCTGCGAAGTCTGGGAAGGAGCAAATTTTTGGGTCTAGATCCATTTCAATTTTCAAGAGCTAGTCTAGAGATTTTTAGATGAGTGTAAAAATGTGAAAAAGAAAGGTTTCACAACAGAATTAAATAAAAATTAGAACAGCCCATAAACAACCACAAAAATTAACAAATAAGGGCGTGTGTCCACCTGTCCGAAGAAAATTGGCTGTTTTAACCCTAAATGTGCGTAATAAAAAAAAAAAGTACAGGAGCTTTTGCCAAAAGGTTGGGGTGTTTGCATGAGGACTTTTTAAATCAACCACTACTCATGGAAAAATATGTTTGAAAACATAATGCATATGGCAAGGAAATAAGTTGGTCAAGCTGCATCTGCATGAGCAAGTAGATTGATGTGTGCATCTTATATCTCTTCAAAGAAAGATAATAGTACTAAAAATAGGGCAATTTTTACTCATCCTGAGTGCACACGTAATTGTATGTTAAATACAGAATATTATAAATCTTAAACTATCAAACAGTAGTGCATTCAAACATTGAAAATATTTAGTATACACCATCATAACACCATGTGTCCACTAAAAGAGTTTTATTTTTTTATATTAATGATGTTATTGCTGAGTAAAATTTATAAGTTCGTTCATAACTCATGTCATAATTACATCATCAGACTTTTCAAGGTCTAAAAAATCCAAATCGTTAAACATATCATCCCCAGGAATGACCAGTATTAAACATTGGTTTGACATTGATCCATCAGAAGGGTAATTTTCCGCTGCGTCTCATGGTTTTGCTTAAATGCGACTTTGATTGAGATAATCCAGGTTTGTCATAATGATGTTATGAACAAACACTTTATGATATTTCTTCAAAATATCATGTGAGGGACTTCCCACTGTTTCACAACATCCTTTTAGATGGTGGAATGAACATGGAAGAGTAGCGTGCTGATAACTCAAAAGAGAAGCGAAGAAGAGGCAAAAATAGGCTTGTCATAATGGATTTTCATCATGTTATGAATGTGACAGTGTGTCATAATGGTTATATTATGAACGAAACCTTATTCCATGTAATTAACAGTTGTTTTGGGATGTATTTATAATTTTAACCCAACTTAAGGATGTATTTGACCTTGCTTACATTCGGGTATTTTGATTTTTATCATAAGTGTATTGGTATGTATTTTAATCAGTATTTTTCTTTTGTAGTAATTGTTATGAACGAACTACATAATGTACTCTGAGGACTTTCCAGTGTTGATAAACATTAAAAACATGTACACAGATACATATCGTGTTAACTTCTGGCGCTGCTCAGTGGCGACGAGGCTTTTACAGATCTCCGTATTTTGGATAAATTTTTACGCTTACTCAATTTTTACACGGTCTTGTGATAACTTATTTATTAATATGGATCTTAAGTCTTTCAGTTGTGCCATATTTCTTGTGTTTTTGATTGTTTTGAGTGTGTCAGTGCAAATTCACCAGTGCAGTGTTTTGAGTGAAGCTCCACCATTGAGACAGACCTACAGTTCAGCCATGTTAAAACGCCTTAGACCGGCAAACAGAAACAGTGTTTTCAAAGTCGTTCTACCCCGTGAAATGAGACCACGTAAACGGGGAAGGAAGGGAGGAGTACGTTTGAGAGCGAGAAGAAGAATTTTTAAACCGTTTTTACCTTCTATCGTAACTGGTAATGCAAGGTCACTAAATAATAAAATGGATGAACTCTGTGCAAATGTTAGGTTTCTGCACGAGTACAGAGAGGCCTCGCTTATTTGTTTTAGCGAGATGTGGTTCAAGGACAGTGTTTCTACTAACAGTGTGGTCATTGACGGATTCCATCTGGTGCGTTGTGACAGGACGATTGACTCTAACAAAGAACGAGGGGGAGGAGTGTGTGTGTATGTGAACGAGAAGTGGTGTAGTCGTAATAATATTCATGTTAAACTCCAATTGTGTACACCTGATATTGAATACCTAACTGTTGTTACTCGCCCGTATTATCTACTGAGGGAATTTCCTAAGATAACAACTAACATTGTTTATATTCCACCACAAGCCAATGTTAAAGTTGCCACAGACACTTTGGTCGAAATGATTCACGAACAGCAGTCTTCTTGTCCTGACGGTGTAATAATAGTAATCACTGGGGATTTTAACAAATGCTCTTTAACTTCTGCCCTCCCCACTTTCCACCAATATGTTAATGTACCAACCCGTGAGGACAAAAGTATTGACCTTTGTATGTTTCTAATGCCTACAAATGTATAACTCTACCTCCAATAGGAAACTCTGATCATTGCATGTCTCTTTTATTACCGAAGTACAAACCTAAATTAAAATCCTCAAAGCCAATTTAAAAAGTTGTCACCATCTGGAGTGAAGAAAACTAGGAGAGCCTGAGAGGTTGCTTTGAATGTACGAATTGGAATGTTTTTAAAGATTCATGTAATAGTATAGATGAATTATGTGAGACTATCGCTGGTTACATCAGGTTTTGTGAAGACCTACATTCATTTAAAAAAGAAATTATCTACTAATCATTCTGTGGGACAAGCGCGGTGCGGATGACACTTTATGTAAGCCAATGAAATGAGAGGAAAGGAATGACGTAGGAGTCCGCTACGCACATGTGAGATTTTGTTTTCACACTTGCAACACATTCATCAAGGAAGGTTAACTGATTTAATGTTATTTTGTACCTCCCTGGATTTTCTCTCTATTTTTTGTAATTGGGGCTTTCACGGACACGACGAATTAAGGAAATCTCGAACACTATTTCCAATTCCCAATGAATTCGAGTTACCCATGTTTGACTATTTCTTCGCTTGAAAATAACAAATCAACGTGCTGTCAATGCGGGAGAAAGAAACAAAGTCATGCGGACTTGAAAATAAACATTCTTTTTATAAATAAGTAAAGAGGTTTGGTTTCTTTCCTTTTCTAAAAAATTTGTGCGATTTTTTTCCCTTGGGTTTTTATTTTTCCATTTTTTACTCCCCTCCGGTGGTTTTTTTTGTGTATGTTTTTTTGAAAAATGCAAAAATTGAGGTCATGATTCGCGGACCAGAAAAATGCCGAAAGTCGCGGCCGCAACAAACGCAGATGCTAGATATTTGCTCTTCTTTATTCTGGCTATATTATTATTATTACACTAAGTCTAAAGGGCCTATTACACGTACAGGCCGACCGGACTGGTTTCTGGGCTGTACGGCCAATCGTAACGTGTAATAGGAAATGCGACTCAAACCGTAGGCAAACACCCGCGGAATTGCCGGCCGCCCGGATGTAAAGTACCTACGGCCACTGCCTGTGAATTTGTCGTCCGCGCCTTCGGAGTTTGTTGCGCCGGGGACAACTGAACGTCGTAGATAAAAAAAATAATATCAGATTCAGAATCAGCGTATGAAAATTAGAGAAATGGCTCGCGAGTGACTTGTTTCGTTTTGTATATTTAAGGATTTTCCATTTCAGCACATTGTAATATTTTGCGCTCCATGGTGCACACTAGTGTGTGAAGTTCACCCCGACTAGGACTAGTGTGTAAAATATGTTGCTCGCGAGGTGCGGCCGCCTTCAGGTCGATTGTGGTGTGTAATAATAAACCAAGTTTCCTCGATTTCGTCTGGCTGTTCGGCTTGCCTACGGTCAAAAACTTGTCTGGTTGGCCTGTACATGTAATAGGCCCTAAATAGCATAATAATTTGCTGAAGGCCAGTTGGGGGGGGGCATGCGCCCCCGTTTTTCCCCATAATTTGATGTTTTGCTATTACAAATGTACTAGGTTTGAAATTTTCTCGAAACTGATTTGATTTGCGACAGTTTTAGTGGCCATATGTGTGGTGTGCTGCAAAAAATATGGTCATTTAACCCTCAAAAGCAGTCTGTGTGCAGGAATGAATTACAAAATTTACCCTGCTTCTCTACGAGTTAGTATGAGATCTCTAGAAGGAATACAAAGGAGTCAACTCAAATGCACCTTGCCCAACTTTGCTAGCACCTCAGATTCAACAAGTTAACCATGCCCAATTGTAGTTCGCTCCTCTTTTTTATGTAGTCTATTTTTTTCATTTTTCATGTGGACATAATGATAAACACCAATGAAAAATTAAGTCAACACTTTGGCATGCTCTTCTATAATTTGTATTCATTTATGATGACAAAATTACTGTTGATAAGAGACTGTGATTGTCAGAGGTCACTATGACAAAGTAGAGGAATCAATGGTGATACAGCTATTTGTAAGAATTAACAAAATAATTCAGACTGAGCAAACCAGGATTCAAAGAAGTCGCTTGCATGGCAAACAGCCCCTGCTGACATAGCTTCTTACATATTTTTCTCCAGCTGTGGACCTTACTCTATTCCGAAAGACCATTGATCACACCAGTACTGTGGATCATTACATGCTTAGCCTAGATTATTTTGTACATCTTATGCGACCAATCAGAAGCCTTCTTTCACACTAACACAAACTTAAGACAGGATGTCTTTGCGCATGCCGGAGTCGGGAGATGTTGTAAGGGCAACCAGCACTTGTGTGGCTGTTATGGCGTGTGCCTGGGAGGATAGGGAGAGGGACGTGTGCACAAGCGTAATGGGTGTGGAACGTCTGCAGATATCTATCACTACGCAGATGCATCACAGTCTTATCCCCTCCCTCCACCTTCCGGCTACTTAACAATGATTTCAATGAAAGTCTAGCTTAGACATACATCTAAATCTACAAAAAATGAATTGCGTGTTGGTCTTTAGGAACAAACATTGACAGATGCTATGCCTTACATTGCAGTGCAACTTGTTGTGTCCATTTAACGAACACTTGATTGAACTAAATTGAAGGTCAGTCCCGATAAAACCATATTTCTTCTAATTGATCGGTGATTATCGCGTATGGTACAGTGCAGCCTCTCTTTAACAGCCTTCGATATAACGAGATCCTCTGTATAGCGACATGGTACCCAGGTCCAGATTTTTCCTCATATTATATCATAAGTAATATTTTTGGTTGCCTCTCTGCAGTGAAATTTTTTTTCTGGTCCCGAAGATGTCGTTATAGAGAGGCTGCACTGTGTAAGTTGTAGGGGAAATGCACTCAAACTAAGGTATGTGCTCAGACAAATCTCTAACTGTACCCACAGATACTCAATTTTACTCAAGAGATGTGTCCTTTTATGTTTTCAGGTTCTGTGCACATTTTAGTCACTGCTCGTCATGGCGGACGAGGAAGCCAGCAGGACAGACTCTCGTCACAGCAGTTCCCCTGCAACTCCAAGCGTCAGCAATCCTGGAACACCAAGGTCAACAGAAGTGGCGCCCGATGTTCGTGCCACACCCCCTCTTGCTAGGGCAACCCCTCCACTTGCGAGAGCAACGCCCCCTTTAGCGCGAGCCACGCCCCCTTTGAACCAAGGTCAGCCGCAGCTCCTTCATGGACCACCGGTGCTTCCTGTCCGGTCTATTACTCAGGCGCCCACAGCGCCTTCCCCTCTAGCTCAAATGCACCATCACCAAAGCAAATACGCTTCTCTTCTCGCTGTCATAGAGGACATGGGCAGAGACATTAGACCCACCTATGCTGGCAACAGAAGTTCCACAGAAAGACTGAAACGAAGTATAGTACATGCAAGAATACTGGTTAGGGAGTGTCTAATGGAATGTGAGAAAAGTGCTAGAACTTAACTTTTGATAATATGATGTTTTGTACATATTTTAGGAGGGGTTGGAGACATGTTGCTTCACATATTGGGTCATTTGGTCTTGTGCGTGGATAGGTTACTTTTGACATTGGTTTAGAGAGAAGTTACTGCAGTGTATAAGGGGTATTTTATTTTGCTTGTCTGTGCAAATGTTATTTTTCATCATATATGATCATCCTCATAGTTTCATGAAGTTTGTGCAATTTCCAAATTTATTTTTTTTTAAACTGCAAAACCCTATGTGGAATAAAAGTCTCATCCTTTTAATATTACATCTACTGGGGTTTTTTGTCCAGCTTTCTCAGTGGTGTTTTAAACAGCAGTCATTTATGTTTTGATTTATATACTTGAGCATGGATATGTATCTTCAACACATTGCGAGATTGACAAATTGAAGTTGCTTTTTTTACTTTTGCAGTCCTCTTGTACGGCAAAGTGTCACGGGAAGATGCAATTTCGGACGTGGGCCTGGTGTGTTGTCTTTTTTTAGATCATAATGTTGTTCCTTTGGAAGGTCACTTTGATTCCGTTGATCTCTCAGTCTTTCTCTTGCTTTGAAATCTTTTAATCTCATGTTTACAGACCTTTGAAGTTGGTTGTTCGGCTCCATTCTCTCATCCAAACTACAGTCGAACCTGCCTTAGGGGCTGTTCAAATATAATCTTACACCTTTTTAGGGACTTTTTGGACCCCCCCTTTCTTACACTTTTCTTACATTTGCCGCCGCCCCCCGCCGTAATATTACATTGTTCGCTTATATGATAAAAATAATATGATATATTTTATATCGCGCAAATCTGTGAAACAATCATTGTTCTATGTGCGTTGCATAATATTCATGGAAAACATGCATACACATATATACATGCACATAATAATATTATAATATGCACTAAAGAATAATAGGTGTCATGACATGGTGGGATCAGGCGCTCGTCAGTTTTGAGGCATACGGAGTTATTGATATAATCTTATAGCCTGTCCATTTGCCTTCCTTTTGATGAAAACGATATTCATCTATGCTAAATAGAAGTTGAAATATTTGCAATTGAAGGAGGTGTTGGTCAACTGATTTCAGAGGTAAATTTAGTGAGAAAACGGCCGCCAAAGTTTGATTATATTTCAATAGCTTGAGAGCCTTTAAAACTGAAAAATAACATATTTTGTGCATTTAATGAACGTTTTTCAGTAAAATTCGCATGGAAATGTGTTATTATACGGACATAAAAGGTGTCTAGCGGAAAAACAAAAATTCAATAAAAGTTCCCAAACCTGCGGAAAAATGCCAGTTTTTTTAACTTTCATCATTTTGACGAGCGCCTGATTTCACCACGGTGCCTCACATAGAGTAAATCATTCAAGCAAAATGTTGCATACACTCTTTCTTACTAATAAAAGGAAAAAATTGAGACTCATGTCAATGACAAAAGGGCCTTAATTACAAATAAAAACAAGTTACAGTAGAATTCTGATAAAGTCAACACCCCGGACAGAAAAAAATTTTTGACTTTGAGCAAGGTTGATTTTATCCATTGTACTACTACTGGCCATTGAAAATTGAAGATGACTGCTACAAAATTACACAGTACCTGGTAATAAACAAGATGTAATCTCAATCTCAAGGAGTATAATTCTGAAGTTGTCACCAAAACAAGAGATTTAATGAAAGAACAAAGTAATTGGAGGTGTGTACACCACTAGCTCAGGCGAAATATCTCTTCTTAAATGAATTCATCTTGAGATTTAGCCCCAAATTGTTGACTTTACGCAAGCTTAACACTCAAGTGGTTGACTGTATCAGAAACACAATTGGATCTACTTAAAATAACTTAAACAAAGGAAGTAAAAAACGGGACCACAGTGAGGTGTTGACTGTAAGAAAGAGTTGACTTTAAGCAAGTTAACTATCAGGATTCCACTGTATCTGTTATTACTGATCATTATGCTGAAAACAAATAGTGAAATTAGTTATCATCAACAAAGGCAGTGTTCTTCAGTATGTCAAAAATAATTTTTCACTCACAAAAGTGTAATATTACATTAGTTCAAGACCCCCCCCCCCCCCCCCCCCAGGCGTAAGATTATATTTGAACGGCCCCTTATCAGGAACCTGCCATAAGCCATAAGAGAATCTCCACGCTTTCCCCTCGATAAATTCCTGTATAGTACGCCTTTCTAAGAGAGGAACCCGCCAAACCTGGAAACAAAGAAAAATTCCTTCCCTTCAGATGGTTTTGACCTGTCCAAGATGGAAAATGATTTGACACAAAACTCCAGATTTTTGGTTTCATTGGCTCAAACCATTACACCATGCTGTCAAGCAAGGAGGGGAAGAAGGGGTACCATTTTGGAGTAGATCTAGCTATTAACCCATCCATGTGAGCCTTGAGCAGTGCAGTTGGTCAGGATGGTGTAGTGTAAGATCTCGTCAGTGCTTGTATACATGGTGTGAAATTAATTTGACTTACGCCATTGCCTGCCACCCTGATTGTACAGCCAGACAAGAAATAAGTTCCTCGAGTTGTTGTTTCATGCAGGAGAGGGATGGCATTGTAGCCTACTTGTTACATCAATGGGTGGGGTTAGGTTAAGGTTGGAAACATTAAGACATTCAATCGTTTGTTTTGAATTGGTCAAACTAGTTTTATTAGATGCAAGAACTGGTGGCTATGGATAAGTAAACACTAAAACTGATGCATGTCATTATGATGGGCTGGAACCTAGGATGTCTCTTGAAAGGTGTGAAGTTTTCACCACTGCTTGCCAGCCGGATAGATGACCATTGATCCCACCACATGTAGGCGGATGGGTGAGGTATGGGGTGGACCGATAAGTGCAGCCTCGCATAGCGCAGGTCCTAGCTGTAGCTTACTTGAAAGTCAGTCTTTGGCTGCTCCATCAAGCCTTCACAAATTAAAAAATACTTGAGATTATGTCTTTGGCTGGAGAACCTTTTTTTTTTAACAGAAAACTAGAATAGTTTTTAAAAAAACACTTTTTGGGTAAGTTTTGCAGCGCTCGCTACTGCATAAGGCCATTTCAGCGTGCAGGACACTAGTTGTTTGTTTTCATGCCTGTTAATAGCCACAACATGGCTTGGTTTTACTTTGCAAGTTGGAATGGTAAAACAAGCTTCTAATTTTAAGTTAAAAAACTATTACAGTACAGTAAAACATCATGTTCATAAGATAATTGCCAAAGTAATTTTAAGCCGGTTTGGAGTTTTTGGTTCTGAAATGAAGAGCATAGCCAGCTTGGTAATACATGTATACAGTGGAAACCTGATATGACCGGGATGGTGGGAGTAGACAAAAAGTCCTGTTATATCCTATCCCTGTTAAATCAGAAATACAAGAAAAGTAAGCATTTGTGGACTAATCCAGCTGTACTTATTCATGGGTAGTTTCCCTTGTGACAAGTATCCACAAACTGGGGTTTTGGCACCAACTTTCTCCTTGCCACCTTAAACCACTTCAGAAGAGCTTGGTCCATAGCAACTGCATCGGGTAGTCTCATCGTCTTTCGTTTCAGAGCATACTTTTCATTGGAGTATGCTGCCACTATCTTCTCTCTATCCTTGATAATGATATTTATCGACCCTTGTGGAATGTCGAACTGACTACAAATGTCTGCCAGTGGAGCTCGCTTTTTGTCAACAGCCTGAATTATTTCGTATTTTTGTCAATTGAAACGCATTTTCTCTTGCGCTTGACATTGTTGGTGGCCATAATAAAAGAAGTAGGCTTAGATCTAGGCCAACCGGTCGTCCACAGAGTGCATTAAGCTTAGATACAGTGGAATCCTGTTATAACGAGAGGGAGGGGACCGGTGCCAAATGTCCGTTATAGCAAGATTCTCGTTATAAGGGATCCAGTAATAAATTCAAGGGAAATAGTAAAGTTGGCCTAATCTATTATGAGTCTGGTTTTCGGTTTATTTCTTTTTGTAATCTCCCCTGATGATGATTTGGTTTAACATGACCTTTAAGTTTAAGTCTTACTTGATCAAAAGTCGAATCAGGTTTCTTTCTCAAACGCTAGCGATATTGACAGCTCGCCGATGGCGATCAGAAAGAAAGTTCTCTAGGCTAGGTTAACTCGCCCGCTGTGTTGTCCCCCACCCCACCACACCCTGAGGTGAGTTCCGTCTGCTTGCGCACAATGGGAACATACACCCCGCCCATGTCACACATTCGCTCCGTCCATCACAGTACAGCACTATGACCTCTCCATCCCCGCATCGGAGAAGTGAGAGGCATGGTAGACCTAGATAATCTAGACTAGGCTGGCCAATCACACGATGCGTTCTGCTCGTCTGATCATGCCACTCTATCCCCACTCATTCAATCCGGCCTTCATTGCTGGCACTCGTGGGCTCTCCCATTCTTTGTTTCGCTAGATAACCAACAAGTTTCTCAACTGGCGAGGTTTTACATGAATAAATCATTAAATGGCCTATGCGCTGTGCACAGCAGCTCAGCTATATTCCGGTATAACCGACTCGCGTGTTTGTCTGATTGCGCTATAGCAGTATTTTATTTACAAAGATAAAAGTTCAGAACGAAAAAAAATGGGGTTTGGGAAAAGTGTCTTTATAACAGACTTCTCGTTATTTCAGGACTCGTTATAAGTGGATTCCACTGTATCTAGATCTACACATGTATCCTACAGGTAGAGTCTACTGTTGTTAGTGAACAGTCACAGTGTGGTGTGGTGCATGCGAGTGTGCTGTGAACTGCAAAACATGCTCTGCGCACGACCACATTCGGCCATGTAGCAGGCCTGCGCATGACACATTACGCGTGCGTGTTGCTAGGTTTCGAGCTAGATCCAGGTCTGCAGCACACCGCAGCCCTCTCTCGCTTCACACGCTGCTTGTGCTTGCAGTGGCATGGCTTGCACGGGCTTGCTCCATCACTGCGTTACTCTGTCTCTCTCTCTCTGTCTGTCTGTCTGTCAGTCTCTCCCTCTCTCTCTCTCTCTCTCTTACTTTTTACACATTGTTAGCGAGCCTTTGTCCCTGCTATAACCGGTTGGACTCCGATGAGGCCCTGTTATTGCCGATAACTTTAAAAATAGAGACGCTCGTTAACAAAGGGTAAAAAGTAAGACAGAGAGAGAAACGCAGTGATAGAGCAAGCCCGCCACGCTACTGCAAGCACACGCAGCGGGTGAAGCGAGAGGGCTGCGTTGTGCTGCAGACTTTGATCAATCCCCCAAGCCTAGCTACATGCTCGCGTAATGTGTCATATGCAGGGTACTTGTGGCAAGGGAAACTACCCATGAATAAATACAGCTAGATTAGTGTGCAAATGCTTACTTCCCTTGCATTTCTGATTTAACAGGGATCTGATGTCCCACCATCCCTGGTATATCAGGTTTCCACTGTAGCAAAATTCAAGCGTTTCACAGAGTCAATTGTTCGAAACAAACCATTTTTTTCTTATTTTCTCAAAATGGCTAAAACTCACTTGAGCAGGATGAAAAATACTTTGGTGTTGCTTTAATGTAAGTTTTTATATTTTATAGTAGAGGGTTTTATGGCGCTCGCAACTGCATAAGGTCATATGAGCGCCAAGGGGTGGGTGTCAACAGAGAAGTCTTTACAGGGAATCAGACTTAGACTGCTCACCTCTCTGGCTTCAACAGCACAAGGTCTGCTTCGACTATCAAGGCACCCCAAAATAACAGGTCACAAGAGAGTGACAAACATACAAAAGAAGTAGAGGAAAATGACAATAGTAAGGATCAGGAAAGAATAAGCAGCAATTGTGGCGATGGGTATACAACATTACATGTAAGAAGAGAGTGAAAAGCAATGAAACGCGAGTCAAGTAAGAAGAGATGGAGCAGCATGCTGCTGATACGTTGTCACTTGTCATGAACCTTCCCCCCCCCCACTCACACATTTTTGCTATGTATAAAGTATAAAAGCAGTGTGGGGTCAGGGGCCTGGAAATCTGGAGGTTTCTTTCTTTCTATTAAAATGATGTGATCTTAGTTAAGTTAGTGAAAAAAGACTTTTACCGACTCCTTATATAAAAGCTGTCCCCATAGAATTATATGCAAATTTAGATGGCCAAATTATGCACCAAAAAAAGCAAAATTATGCAAAAATTATGCAAGTTACCGTAACACCATTCGCAACATGTTTTGCACTTTTTCAACACGAATTTTCATGATTTTCATGTTTTATGCACAGAAATAGAAAACAGAACATATCAGTATCAGTAATTTGTTGTGTATTTGGAAAGAAAAACAATACCCATCAGTCAGAAAAAAAACATTAAAAAATTATAATCTCTGTAACTTTCACTTTCAGCTGTAGATCTCTAGATCTAGATTCTATCTATAGAGGAAAGGAAAAGAAAGAAAAAAAGGACATCTGGACCTCTGGTGCTGGCACATTACTACTAAAACAAGGGACGCCTGTCAAACATGAAACATCAGCAGACATGAGAACAACAACTTTTGATGGATTGAAAAATTTAAACGTGCTCAAGGAACAAAATCCCCAACCCATACCAAGATCTTCTATTCTAACAAGGGAAATAACCAACTTGTCAATTAAATGAGACTTATTACGGTGATTACTTCCCTTTAATCACATGGCGAGGCGTTAGTTAACTGTTTTGTGTAAAAAGGGAAAAAAACGCGGGAAATCCAAAATTATGCAAATGTTGCAGAATTACGCGAAAAAACGCATAATCGCATAATCCTACGGGGACAGTGGGCCTATAAAAGTTATGATGACATTTCATTCAGCCTGCCATCACTGGAGACAAAATTCATATTTTTGCTCCAGAAGAATAACAAAACCTGCGAAATTTTCAAAACTGCAACTTTATTAACTGTTCTGCCACTCCCACAGATGTAAAGCATGATCATAAAATGAACATGTTGAAATCAGATAGGTATCATCATCAGGAGCTTTGTCTTTCTCGATGTCTTCACATTGATCATCATTTTGAGTCCTTGCTGGTCTTTGAGTTCCATTTTCGGAAAGTCTGCACCAGTCTGCTCCATAGGCCAAATTATGGTCATCATACTTTGCCACAACAGGCAATGGTGTTTGTCCTGAGCAGTAAGAAAAACATAGATTAAAAATTCAAGGGCGGCCGCAAAAAAAAAATATTGCCTCCAAAATTCAAATGATTCAAATAATTTTTACATGTGAGGTGTGCTGACAAAATGAGTTGCTTCTCGGATTTTAGCCTTTTATGGAACTTGATACATGATACACTTTACAAGTGGAGTTTGTACAAATTTTAAGTATGGAATAATTAAGGACAAGGCAGACCTGGAGAAAAGAAAACCTGTTTCTGACCGCAGTGTCCATGTTCAGTTGATATATCTCCATTCTTGGATTGCGAGAAGTAACTCACTGTCAGCATGTCTCGCATCTATGTAAATCAGAACTTTGATGTTTGAAAATAAAATCTACTGACTGAACAAGACATTTTGAAATGATAACTTTGTAAAGAAAGCAGCGGCACCAAAAACTGCCTCTTCCAAACAAATAAGAGGGTCAAAATATATAAGATGTGCTGAAAATATGTACAATGTAGCCTACACGCAAAATCTGTCATCAATAATTTCTTTATATGCCCTCAATTACCATCTTTATGCAGACGATACACAGCTGTATGGATTCACTACTACTGACAATGTACACAGTGTCATAGATAGAATCGCTAGATGTATCAATGATATTAGAAAAGGGATGCTCAAGAACAAATTAAAATTAAGGGAGTGCTTATTTAGGCCACATATATGGCCTAAATAAGGTAAGGGAGGGGGGTTTAGCTTATTTAGGCCACAGTGGACTGTGGCCTAAATAAGGTAAGGGAGGGGGGTTTAGCTTATTCAGGCCACAGTGGACTGTGGCCTAAATAAGGTAAGGGAGGGGGGTTTAGCTTATTTAGGCCACACATGCTCAAACTACCCTTTTCAGGCAACTGAGTTCGTTCCACTTTCATAATGGTGCACCTTTCTCATTTAGTACGGTTTTGTCTCAGTGTACAACTTATAAATCATAACCAACCATAATGAATATTGTAAAGAACAAAGCACAATACGCAAAATTTTGCTCAATCCCAATGGTTTGAATGAGGGCCAGATTTTTCCTTCATGGAGGGGCAAAAGCTAGGCTACCATTTTGGCACACTTTGGTCAAGTGAAAAGGTCAAATCCTCCGAATGGACTTCCGGGTTAAATTTGGGGTATAAAAAGTGTGTACACTACGTGGCTGAGTCAAAGTTACACTATCTTTGTCTGAGTGACACTCTCTCTTACTGTCTCGTAGTAGTACATGTAGGCTAGTAGGCCTAGTAGTAGTAGTAGCAAAGATCATGTAGAGAATATTTGGTAGTAGATTCTATCTATAGGCAGTTTAGTGAACGTGCTCGCAGCAGGGCGAATCGGCCTCGATAAGCCCCGTAGACTTTTGTGATCGGCCACGAAGCCTCGTGTTTTGATGGGTCTAGATCTAGATCTAAACAACTCAGTGTTAATCACACTGCCACATCCGACAGGCCTAGATCTACATCTTTTTAAAAGGAAAACAAAGATCATCAAAATGGTTGAATTCGCCTGAAAATCGATTCGGTAGAACTAGAACTATTAAAATTTGCTTCTGAAAACAAGGCAATTTTTATACGAAGGCCATTTTTATAACTCGGTGAAATAAAAACTACTGGCTGTGTACTGTGTTATTCTGTATAAAAATAAATTATGAAACTTCAGGACGTATTATTATTTTCCAGCATCTTTTGACGCCTGAGCTGTAGAGGTTGAAGTTTTCACAACACTAATAGATCTAGTAATAGGCCAGGTAATAGGGCTTTCCGTAAAAAATGCATAGATCTACAAAAGCCGAACCACCGAATCGACCGAGCACCTCGCTCTCCCCTGCACACTGTGATAACGTGTTGCTTCGGTATCGCATTATTCAACTATTAATACGTGTGGCTATGGCAATTGGGATGTACTGACTGACAAAAAATTCAGTTTTGTTTTTATTTTACCATATATTTGACTTTAATAGTGCAGGCGATAGCAAGATCTAGATTCCCTGTCTAGAATCAGTAGTAGCAGGCCTATGCTAGAAGTAGCCAGAGAGCCTACAACTGCTAGATCTAGATCTAACTTATTATTGCTATGCCTTTGGGCTTTGGAATTGAAATAAAACGAATTGCACAGTTCTAGTTACTTTTAGATTCAGCAAGTAACTGTATTTCCAGAGTTAATAATAACAAATCTCAGCATAACAATCACTTTTACTTTTATTAGAATAATTAGATCCAACTTTTTTTCTAAAATCTGTTTTGCGCAAACTTAACACATTACACCCTAAGGGCCTGGACGGGAAGTCCATTCCTAGATCCTAAGCAAGGGGAAGGAACCCACCTCTCGTGAATACAAGCCTTTAAAAAACACATTTTAAAAGTACTAAACAAATTCCAAAAATCCTGAAAAAATAAAAGTTAAAAAGAAAACTGAATGTAGTTTCAGAAAAATTTAACTTTATGTATGCGCAAACTGTTGGAAATGTTGTCACTTTAGTTCAATCGGGGTGTCCGACCCATCACTCTCACTCTCAGCCTCGCGGTCGGGCCCTAGGTCTAAATTCTAGATTTTCTCCGTCTGATCAATCGGAATCGCCCCAAACTCTTCCTACAACGTTTTCATCAAAATCTGAGCCTTCTGATTTGTCACATGCTCATTTTTGCTCAAATCCATCGTTATTTCCGTTTTCGAACTCAATTGTGTCGCTTTTCAACAAGTCGAGACACTTTCGAAGTGTCGGTAACGCGATCGCACTTCGATCAGCTCTAATACTAAAACTACTGGCCCGAAAAATTTCGTTTCGGTATCAAACGAAAGAAGAAACTTTTTGCTATACTATGCAAATCAAAATCCCGGCCCCAGAGTCTCGTCAAGGCGAGACTTTCGTTTCTAAAGACGCTGGGTCGGCGCGGGCGGTTCCGGGCGAGTCAGGGTGGAGCGCGTAAGGGAATTCCCGGGCGATCCCGGGCGAGTTAGGGTGTAATGTGTTAAGATTTTCTCTACTTGTAGAGCAGAGAATTTACATTGTAAGCCTCTGCTCAGTCTTTTAGTATACATATAATAAAATACACACACACACATATATATATATAGAGAGAGAGAGAGAGAGAGAGAGATCTATATCATCATTTTATGTTGTTTTCGGGATATTTTTAAAACTCTTTTTTTTCAACATGTCATAAAATCAAATTGTGCCATTTTCTTTGAAAAGAATAGCATTAGCAGTGGACTTTTTAGAAAGCGAATCTCTGATTCAATTTTTTTTTTTTTAATATGCTAATCAATGAAAATTGCAAATTGATAATAGTTTAGTCCTGAAGAGGATAGGTGGACTCCGGGGTCTGCAAAGCGAAATACTAGGTTTTAGGACAGGTGGACCCCGGGGTCACCGTAGTGAAATAAGTATGTTTCTTTAAAGATTGGTGGACCTGTTTCTTTAAAGATTGGTGGACCCCGGGGTCAGCGTAGTGAAATAAGTAGGGTTAATTTTAAAAGGATTGGTGGACCCCGGAGTCACCATAGCCGTAGAGGAATAAGAAGGTTTAATTAAGGATTGGTGGACCCCCGGGACACCTAGATTAAACCTACTTATTTTACTACGGTGACCCCGCAGGTTCCACCTATTCTAAAAACCTAACTAGCATTTCGTTAGGTAGACCCTGGGGTCCACCTTAAACCTACCTATTTCACTACGTTGACTCCAGGGTCCACCAATCCTTAAAATTAAACCTAGATCTACATGTACTTATTTCACTACATTGACCCCAAGGTCCACCAATCCTTAATTAAACCTAGATCTACTGATTTCACTACATTGACCCCGGGGTCCACCAATCCTTAATTAAACCTATATCTACTTATAATTTCACTACGTTGACCACGGGCTCCGCCAGTCCTACTATAAAATAAACTGAGATCTACTTATTTCACTATGTTGACCCCGGGGTCCACCGATCCTTAGTTAAACCTAGATCTACTACTTATTTCACTACGCTCACTCTGGGGTTCACATCCTAAATCCTAGCATTTTGTTAGGTAGACCCCGGGGTCCACCTATCCTTTTGGCTAGATAGACCCCGTAGTCCGCCTATCCACTTTCTTGATAATAACTGAAAACAATACATGCCAGTTGTCATGAATAGTGAAGAAAAATGATGGAAAAAAAAGACAATGAGGTAGACTATAATTTATCAAAAAAGTTGCAAGTGCAAGTGAAGATCATAAAATAATTTTGTTATCTTCTGGTCATCTTTCCCGGTTTATAAAAAAAATTCAGTGGGCCTACTACTAGATCTGTGTCTCTGAAGAACATTTTGCTTGCCTTTATTAGCTTTTTTCATGTACATGAAAGCATAGAATATATAGTTTCACACAAATATATGCACAATACTTTGAAAAAGAAAGATATGGTCATTGTTTTTTTTACGGAATCCGTTTTACGTTGAGAAAAGCGCTAAAAACAAGTTAAAAAATTTTAAGAATGCCCATAATATTAGTATCAGTAATCCGAAATTACTACCTAGTTGGCTTACTCTTTAATAACCATGAGCAGTTAAGAAAAAAAAAGACAATGATATAGGATTTGTCTAAATATGACCATTAGCAATAAAGATTCTGCCCATTTTGTCCAATTATCCTTGCAGGTAAAATCACCCTGCACTGTACCTCAATAAGCACAAAAGGAATATTTCTGTGACTTTGTATAAAGGTGTGGCCTAAATAAGGTAAGGGAGGGGGGTTTAGCTTATTTAGGCCACAGGCGTGGCCTAAATAAGGTAAGGGAGGGGGGTTTAGCTTATTTAGGCCACAGGCGTGGCCTAAATAAGGTAAGGGAGGGGGGTTTAGCTTATTTAGGCCACAGGTGTGGCCTAAATAAGGTAAGGGAGGGGGGTTTAGCTTATTTAGGCCATATGTGGCCTAAATAAGGTCACCCTAAAATTAAATGAGGATAAGACGGAAAAACAGACGGGAAATTTGAACCGGCCTTCCGAGCCGCGACTTAAATCTAG